CGTCGGTAAGATGCCGAGAGCCATTGAAAAACTACAGAAAAGTAAAACTACTTCACTTTAGCATTACTGGCCACGAGTACTAAGGAGAGATCACACATCAGTTGCTCAAAAAATGTGCCAGTAAGACGAACGGAGCGCGAGCGCAATCCTGTGACAGTCACAGGCGGTTAGTGGAGCGCGTGAAGGAGAGATGCGAGGGCACGAACACTGTTCAAGGTCTCAATTAATTTGTGCTTGTTGTAATTTAATGTGTATATATTTTGAAAGCATTGAATCGCTATAGAAATCGAGATTCATTCGATTCTTAGTGTTTTAAATCGATTACTGTCCGAAATCGGCGATTCACGATTCAAAAATGATGTTTCAAGATCGATGCATATGCATCGTCAGGGTTTGTAATCGATGCATCGATAAAACGAGTGAATCGTTACACCCCTAGTATAAATGCAATATGTGTGTATGAACAGATGCTTGCTTAACATCACCTTATTTGCCATCATGTAGAGTAGAGGACAGGTTTCATTAAAGTCATCAATGGTCTTTTTCAGGTCATTAAAAGCTTGCCACTCTTTCAGGGCCCCAGGCAGCTTACGGATCCTTGAAAAGAATTACAAAATATGCACTCAAATTCACGTCATTCAATATACAATATTTATTAATTAGATTAGTTTGAAAGGTAAAATCATAAAAACCTATTCTGAAAATCCAGCAGTTCACTGTTTATCTTTTCTATATTGAGGTCAGCCCATAGTATGTCGTAGTAGCCAGAAACGCTGTCAATCACAGAATTGTAGAGGCTGTACAGCTTGGACAAAAGGTTGAGCTCTCGTTTGATTCTGTGAAGATCAGGATATTCTGAAAGGAGAAAAAAGAAAGAATGATAAAAAAAAAAATAAAAAAAAATTTATACTTTCATTCAGCAAGGATGCATGAAATTCAGCAAGAGGCAAAAAAGACATTTAGAATGTTACAACAGATTTCTATTTTCTTTTAAATTTCTGTCCTTTTGAACATTCTATTCATCAAAGAAACAAGGAAAAAAACGGTTCCACAAAAAACATTAAGCAGCTGTTTTCTGTTTTCAACATTGATAATAAAAAATGTTTATTAAGCACCAAATCAGCATATTAGAATGATTTCTGAAGGATCATGTGCTTTGCCATCGCAGGAATAAATTACATTTTAAAATTTAGAAATTATTTAAAATTGTAATAGTATTTCACAATATTACTGTGTGACTTTCAAAAAACACTAAAAAAAAATCTTACAGTGGGTTGTACTGTTGTATACCCTGGTGTCAATCATTTAGATGACAAAACATTCAAAATTTCCAGTTGACAAAAATGACAAATAGAAAATTGAACATTACATCCAGAACCATAAGGCAGTATAAACCGTTGACCAGATTACATGTCTGTCCCTCACAGCCTCATTTTCATTCAAATCAAAGTAAACATGGCATCTTCCCTGTCCTTTCTGAACCTAAACCCATATTAACAAGATAAAAAGAAATACAGAAGCACCTGTAACAGGGAGGCCAAACAGTTCTTCTCCACTAGAAAAGGTGACGAATTTCGTCCACAGTTCATCAAACTTGGCCTGATAAACTTGCAACCTGTCACTGGCTTCACGTGGGGCCAAACCTGTTACTCCAGGACCACTGAACACAAAAACAGCTTTATTAAGACACTATAATCACTAATAGAGGTATGTAAGAAACTGCATGAAGTTAATATGCAAATTAACCTGTTGTCATAGTCAGCATAGAAAGTTTGCACAGATTGCTGGAAGACCTCAACTCCAGCTACAAGCTCAGCCTTCATTTGAGGTTGAATTTCCAAAAGCTTATTCTGTGTTTCTTTTGCCTTCAAATTAAAAACAGATCAACGTACATTTACAAACAAACCTAAATCCCAAGAAGACAAGGTAAAGGTGATTCTCTACTTCTTTGATGAGACATAAAGTAGAAAAAATAAAGAGAATAAACTACTATGTATTTTAATACTATTTCATGTGGTCTCAAAAAAACTTCTTTTACCATCACATTAAGTTCCTTCCAAGCGTAGACAACCCCATCAATCTTTTCCGCATTTCCATCATTGAAGAACAGCTCATGGCGATTTAACAGAGCGAATGATTCCTCCACCGGTCCTCTGGTGGTCTCTATCCGTATCTCCGCTTCTCGAATCTCTTGCAGGGCGGCCATGGTTTCCCTCACGTCATCCAGGTCAGAAATTGGCCTCTGCAGCTGCTTGCTCACCCCATCCACAAAAGAGCTAATCTCAAGCATGCCCACAGAGGCCTTTTGGTTTAGAGCCACACCAAATGCACGTTTCCAGGTGTGACACTCTTGAACGAGGGACAGTTTGAGGGAGTCAGTTTCGTAGAGGATGGGGCAGACAGTGCAAGTGGAAGGAAGCTCTTGAATCCGGGTCTCAAATGTCTAATCAAATACATGTAGTGGAATTTAGGATCACTCTCAGTTAGACTGCAGCTATCTTCAAATTTCATAAGACTTATTTAAAAATTACGTACAGAATACAGAGATAGTTGGCCGCTGAATTCTGACAATAATGGTTTGGTCTCCAAAAATACTTTCACCTGTTCTGCTGGGTCCTAGATTGGAGGAAAGCATGAAATGTCACACATTTTGATGTCCTGATGCTACACAATGTGTATGTGCCTGTCATAAACATGTCTGGATCATATTTCACTCCTAAATCATATATATATAATTATTTTTTTATATATTTAATATAATTATATTATAATATATATACAGTGGTGGCCAAAATTATGAGAAGAGTAATATTTTCACCAGCTAAAAATGGTTCTGTCAGTTATTTCTTACTGTTTATCTTTTCTATATTGAGGTCAGCCCATAGTATGTCGTAGTAGCCAGAAACGCTGTCAATCACAGAATTGTAGAGGCTGTACAGCTTGGACAAAAGGTTGAGCTCTCGTTTGATTCTGTGAAGATCAGGATATTCTGAAAGGAGAAAAAAGAAAGAATGATAAAAAAAAATAAAAAAAAAATTAATACTTTCATTCAGCAAGGATGCATGAAATTCAGCAAGAGGCAAAAAAAGACATTTAGAATGTTACAACAGATTTCTATTTTCTTTTAAATTTCTGTCCTTTTGAACATTCTATTCATCAAAGAATCAAGGAAAAAAACGGTTCCACAAAAAACATTAAGCAGCTGTTTTCAACATTGATAATAAAAAATGTTTATTAAGCACCAAATCAGCATCTTAGAATGATTTCTGAAGGATAATGTGACACTGGAGACTGGAGTAATGGACAAGGAGTCTGACAACAGCCAGTGCTCCACACAGAGATCTGATTTCATCATCATCCAGTCTGTCTGGAATTACATGAAGAAACAGAGACAGACTAAATCCAGAAGAACCGTGGCAACATCTCCCAAGATGCTTCAAGAGACCTACCTGTAGCAAAGCTACAGTACTGTTAAAAGTTTTAGGCACTTGTGTAAAAATGCTGTAAAATGAGGATGCTGTCAAAAATAATGTCATAAATATATTTTCTTTATCAATGAACTTCTATTAACTAAATTAAAACATTTGGTGTGACCATCCTTTGCGTTTAAAGCAGCTTTTAGCCCTAGGTGCACTTGTGCATAGTTTTTCAGGTAGCTTTGCATGTGGGTCTCTTGAAGCATCTTTTGGCGCTTTTCCACTGCGTGGTACGACTCGGCTCGGCATGGCTCAGTACGGCACGGCACGGTTCGGCTCGGCACGGTTTGCGTTTCCACTGCAGTTCAGTACCGCTTTAGGGTGGGCGGGATTATTCACATGTCGTTATAGTTGCGCCGCCTCTACTACCACGACTCCTAAAAAAAACGTTTTCATTCCGCGTCGCCCCATCAAGCTCTCGCTGGATCCGCTCCTCTGCTATCAACGAGAGGAACGTCTGTTCTTCCGCAACAGACAACAAAACTTTTTGGTTGTTAAAAAAAGGTGCGCTCGTTCAAAACAGTTGAGTTCGATCCTTCGCTGGCTGTGCTGATTTAAATCTAGCGCTTCTGTTGTGTTTGTGTCGCAAGTTCAGTGACGATTCTCTCTGGCCAATCCGTGATCAGCAGAGTTTACACGTCACGTTTTGGTAACGGTACGGTTCACTTGGAACCCCAACCGAGGTGGTACTAAAAAAAGCTTCTGCTTCTTAATTGCACACACTGCACCTCCATAGCAGAGAAAAGTGTTTTAGCTTAAATATCTTTTTATTTATTAAACGTTTTGTTACCTCCCAAAAACCCTAGACGCCAGATAATTGGGGAGACGTAACACTTAGTTTGTTCTGTTTCTGTTCCAGACAGACTGGATGTTGATGAGATCAGATCTCTGTGTGGAGCACTGGCTGTTGTCAGACTCCATGTGCAAAGAAAAATCTCACTGGATTATTACAATTAATGGCAAAATGAACGTAAACTGATATTTCCTACTGACACACTACATATCTATAGAGAGAGAGACAGAGATTTAGCTAAATACCTGTTTCCACAGGGCTGAAAATTGAGACAACCCTTTCAGGATGTCCCCAGCATCTGCTTTGAGAGAGGACACCACAGGGACAAGCTGGGACAAAGCCTTGTTCACATCCTTATGTTCTGTCACCTGTCTGTCCAGAGTCCTCAGCACGAGTGGTTTAGTGACTAGAGTCTCATCTCCAAGCTCACGCGCTGCTGCCTGCTCTGCCTGTGGAGTCACAAGACTTCTACAGTTAACTAACCTCTGATAAAGGTCAGAACACATCTGTCACATGCCAGTAACTACCACAGGATAATTTTGTAACTATCAGGGTGTAAAAACAAGCAAAAATCAAGTGTACATTGAAGCACTTTCCATGGACAATGGAAGTCTGTGAGGCATTGTATTGATAAGCTAAATTTAACTTAATCCAGGTCACCCCTTTAATTCTGTTACCTCCAGTTGTTCTTGTTGGACATGGGAAAATTTCCAGAGTGGAACATCCTTTGCCATTGAAAGCACCATGTTCACAGCTTTATTGAGAATGCCCTGCAGAACAAGGACAAATTAGTGATTAGGAATAAATCTAAAGTTTTAGAATTTACTTCATATAAATATGTATACACATGAAGATGTCCGTTTCTGATGGTTTATAAAAACACACTAAGGCCCAATCCCAATTCTAATTTATACCCCTACCCCTTCCCCTTGTCCCTTGAAACAGAGTGTCAAGGGGTAGGGTTGAAAATATTCCCCTAAGAATTGGGACACCACTACTATACCGTCACACGTCATCATACGTCGTCTAGCTCCTACAATACATACACCTATAGGCTACTGGTATGCATTAGAGCCTAACCGTTCTATATTAATGCGCTGCTTACTGACACACACACACACACACAGAGATCGCGCAGCTCACACCATCCTTTGCCATTGAAAGCACCATGTTCACAGCTTTATTGAGAATGCCCTGCAGAACAAGGACAAATTAGTGATTAGGAATAAATCTAAAGTTTTAGAATTTACTTCATATAAATATGTATACACATGAAGATGTCCGTTTCTGATGGTTTATAAAAACACACTAAGGCCCAATCCCAATTCTAATTTATACCCCTACCCCTTCCCCTTGTCCCTTGAAACAGAGTGTCAAGGGGTAGGGTTGAAAATATTCCCCTAAGAATTGGGACACCACTACTATACCGTCACACGTCATCATACGTCGTCTAGCTCCTACAATACATACACCTATAGGCTACTGGTATGCATTAGAGCCTAACCGTTCTATATTAATGCGCTGCTTACTGACACACACACACACATCGGAGATCGCGCAGCTCACACATCCAGAAGAAAAGAAACTAGACCCCCTCAATGTCTATGGTGGTTATCGCCCTGATCAGACATGAAAATATGCTGTGGCAATATCGTGCAGTCTGTAATGATATGACATTAGCAAATTTTAGCGTTTTTTTTGCAAAAATTTATTTGAATAACATGACCATATATGAACACACGATTGAATGTAACAAAACAAATGATTACTTTTCATTAAAATCTTTATTAATGCCAAAAATGCTTACATTTATGTGTCTTTTTGTTCGCTCGGGCAGCCATGTTGCCGCTGTAGCCGGTTTGCACTGAGATAATTCATACCCCTTCGTTTGAAGTGTGGTCCCGAAAAATCTTCGTTTGAAGGGCTATCTGGCCCTTCCCCTTACCCCTACCCCTCCAACCAAAAGAGAATCGAGACACCCCTACCCCTTCACGTGAACGCGCAAAACAGAGGGGTAGGGGAAAGAGGAAAAGCTAAGGGGTAGAAATGGGATTGGGCCTATGAGTGTCAATCAAACCACATCTTATTATTCACACATCTTATTATTCTGTGCTTGTGTTTTATGTATATACAGTATACTGTATACACAACTGTTAAAAGGTTTGGGGTTGGTAATGTTTTTGAAAGAAGTCTCTTGTGCCAAAGACTATAGAAATACAAAGACGGTTCACTCCTATACTTATGAATGGGAGAAACTGCAACACGCAATATGGTGGAATAGTCCTGCATTCTAAACGAAAGAGCCAATCGCTGATTGGTAAAGTCACTGCGTCACTGCAGCAGCTTTTAGAAGCTCCGGTTCCGATAGAAACCGGAGACTCGCGCATACAACTGTGCATGCGCATAGGCTGGTCTAGCCTGAAAAATAAGCTTTTTTTAACACTATTTGAGCATAAGAAACAACATTCATGGGGCAGTTCATTTCAGATTTTGATGGTGATTTGAAATATGTAATTAAATTGTGAGTCGGGCAGTTATTGAGATTTCAGGATTCCCACATTCATTTAGACAGGACTTGGTCTTGGATGAGCTGCCCGGAGGCAAATATGGCCGAAGAGTGAAAAGACTTCCCTTGAAAGGGAATTTGCTTGTGCTCACCAAGGCTGCATTTACTTGATCAAAAAGTAAAAACAGGACAATATTATCACAATTTAAAATAGCTTTTTTTTGTTGGGATGTATTGTAAAATGTGAAATATTCCTGCAATAAAAAAGCAGAATTTTCACCAGTCACTATTCCAGGCTTCAGTGTAAAATGATCCCTCAGAAATAATTCTACTATGCTGATTTGGTGCTCAAGAAACATTTCTTATTATTATTACCAATGTTGAAAACAGTTGTGCAGCTTGTGGAAATCAAGATTTTTGACTTTTTTCAGGATTTCTTGACAAAAAGAAAGTCAAAAAATAACTGTTTATTTGAATAGAACCGCCAAACCTTTGAACAGAAGCGCAAGTATACTTTACATATTGATATTATGCTCGTTGTTTTCACGTCATTACCTGTATCTGTTCGAAACTTGGTCTGAAGACAATGTTGGGAATGGCCAGCTCAACAGAAACCCTAAAAAGAGGAAACTGAACAGCAGCTTCACTTTGAGATGAAGAACGATACTTGGCACTCACAACAAGCAGCCGACGCCACAGAGAATCCAGAGAGCATTTGGTAGCTTTCAAATAAAGAACACAACATTAATGAATGACTCAAAAAGGTGATACAAGTAAGGTTCTCGATTTTCAGATGAAACTCTGATGCATGATTCCATAATGCATGTATACCTCTGACCAGGGCCTCTGTGTTCTTCTGACATAACTGTCCCATCATGATATAGAAAGCACATGGCAGGCAGCATAGACAACGTGTTTTCTGCTTGGCATCAGGATGCAGACATTTGTAGTTCTGAACATACACATCAAGATTTTCTCAGAAAACTATACTTATTATGTGTAGTGTGACTGTTTATAGCAGTAATATCACACATAACGAGCTACAACCCATCTAATCAAGTGCTAAAAAGTGTTTTATAATTATAAATAACAATAAAGCCTTCATAACTTATGTTTACAGTACCTCCAAGTTGACCCTTTCTGAAGGTTTCAGCACTCTCTTCAGTTCTTCAACCATCTCCATCATTGAGCTCTCCACCTGCTTGCTTGCACTTGAATGAAAATAAAGGAATCCTCAAATTATTATTTTAAATCACATTTAACTATGGACCTCAGTCAGGATACTATATACCAGTGGTTCTCAAACTTTTTATGCCAAGTACCACCTCAGAAAATATTTGGCTCTCCAAGTACCACCATAATGACCAACATTAAAATACAGTAGCGTAGTAGGCCTACCTATTCAGCTACAGCTCTGCACAGTTTAAAAATGAGGCAGTTTTATTCCTATATTATAGGAATATTATAGGCTGAATGTTGTCAGCCACTTTAACATTGTAAATACATAGTTTGAACATTAACACTGCACTGTGCTTACATACAGGTAAATAAAAAACTTAAATAATGATTAAATTAAAATGACCTAAAAGTTAAATAAAAACTGTACTGTACTTAAATGTAAAAAAATAATAAATAAAGATTAAATTGAAATGTATTGTGTTTTAACATTCATTTATATTTAATTTAGTGATTCCTCTGCGTACCACTAAAGGGAGCCTGAGTACCACTAGTGGTACTCATACCACACTTTGAGAACCACTGCTATATACTATATAGTAGGGCTGCCCTCGACTAAGGATTTTTCTGGTCGACTAGTAGTCGTTAATTTTAAGCATTAGTCGACTATTCTTATGTTTATTAATAAACCATTTAAATCATTATAATGAACCTTTAATTGCCTACATAGCCTAATATGCGCTCAAGCGCACGCATAAAGCTTGCCACAGCGCACCGGCAGAAAAAATTATTATGAATGTGTCAGGGAAAAACAGTAAGGAGACTGCATTAACATTTTAATAACTTGTTGATAAACTAGTGCTTTCTTTGTTTTCGGTTTAAGAGATGAAGTCGGCGACACAACTGACTTGTCATCTCCACAGTATGATGCGCCTGTATGCATGTTTCATACGGATTACATAATCTGAGAATATTTGTTTTCCATTTGAATTGGTTCATTTGAAAGTAGACATTTCACTCTCTATAGATACAGCTATATTTTTTTACAGCTATATTTTTAATGTCTGTAAGGCAAAGATATACACGGAGTTTTGCGCTCGAGTTCACAGAGACCGAGATGGCAGAAAGCGCATCCTGTTTCTTTCATTATTTTACAAAAGCGCCTCCATCTGTCCTGCAGTGAGCTACTTTTCAGCTTCCACACTCCACATCACACTCTAGGTAAACATTAGATTGAGTGGCCATGTAAAGTTGCTAATACTTACATATTTCAGATGATAAGTCATATTTGAGGTCGATAATAGGCGAGCGTTTGGATGTCCTGCCCGATGTACTGTATCACCACATAGACCAGCCGTTAACGATCTGTCTGTCACGGACTGCGTGACTACGCCTGTGGATTTTTCTTTTTTTTATCCTGCGACTAAGCGATTAATAAAATTTTGGTCGACCAAGCCTCTTCTAGTCAACTAATGATTAGTCGACTAGTAGGGGGCAGCCCTACTAAATAGTATGTTTTGATACTACACTATCGAAAAACAATGGATTCTCTCTGCAGTGAATGCTGTCAGAATGAGAGTTTAAACAGCTGATAAAAACTTGTGGATTATTGTGATGTTTTTATCTGCTGTTTTGATGGCACCCATTCACTGCAGAGGATCCATTGGTGAGCAAGTGATGTAATGCTAATTACATAAACTCATCTACATGCTGGATGGCTTGAGGTTAAGTACATTTTCAGCAAAATTTTCAGAGGAACTTTTTGAACAGTCTGCCTTTGTAGCCATCAAATTAAATATAGCTGTTTACACCATACTAGTCTGTGATAAAAGATAATGAAAGTGTCACTCACATCTTCATAGTTTGTCTTGCAGTGTTGATAGTGGTCTCTGTATTGGTGAGGAACATCTCAGGTGTAACTGGCTGATTTTTGGGCAGTGTCAGCAGACTGGTGGAAGCCATGGATTCTAAGGTGCGCTCGATTCGACATTCCAGAATATCCATAACAACCTTCACTACTTGCTCCAGCTCTTGCAGTGCTTTGTACACACAGCCTATGACTGAGAAACAATGGGAAAAGACTTAGGTACCAAGGTAGGATTAAACATTGAATAGAATTAACTTCAAAAGATTTCCCAAACTCTAAGACACTCTTCACTGGCCACATAAACACTGCAGGTTAATACACTCTACAGTAGGTCACTTAATGTCATTCTATAAACACAAACATTATTTAGTGGAATGATATTAATATTTTGTTTACAATGAAATTCAGATTTTTAAAGTGTGACTTCAGTGTCCAAATACTTTTTTGGGGCCCTTGTAAACATTTGCAAACCAAAAACAGCATTAAAGATAAAAGGTTTCAAGGTTTTTTTTTGTTTTTGTTTTACAATGGTCAATATTGAGGGAAGTCCATGAGAGAATGGTCAGTCCAGGGTAGAGGGCAGTCTCCACATATCTGATGAAGGGCTTCATTGGGGACTGTAGCACACTGGGTATCCTCTTGACTACTGCATCAAAGTTGCTTAGCATCTCCTGTAATCTGAGAGCAGTGATATTAATGTACTGTATGTATTAACCTTATATTTCAATTTAGATCAATAATTTATGCCTGTTTGTTCATGAGTAGGATGTCTTGCTGTCTAATGATAACATTGATCCTAACCATCATAGAATCTGATTTGGAACACTTCATAGGCAGTGACTATACATGCCACACAAATAGCACTGCTTTATGCAATAATATTGCATAAATAAGGTAAAAAATGACTGGTTTAGCATGATCACTGTAATTTTAAAGTAGTAGTTCACTCAAAATTGAAAATTTGCTCAAAATGTACATGCCCAGGATATCCAAAATGTAGATGTTTTCTTGTCTTGTTTCTTCATTGAAACAAATTTGGAGAAATGTAGCATTACATTGCTCACCAATGGATCCTCTGCAGTGAATGGGTGCCGTCAGAATGAGAGTCCAAACAGCTAACAAAAACATCACAATAATCCACTTTAACTTTAAACCTTCACTTCTGTCAAAAATATCCATAAAAACACTTTCTCCAGTGACAGTCCATCCTCTGTTGTCCTCTCACATCAAATTCCACCAACATATTTATTTAGCACTGTTTTTGCTTGTAAATGGTGCTTGATCTGTGCATATTTCTCGCCTAATTCAGACAAGACCTTTCAATATTGCTGAAGAAAGCAATATTATGGTTAGACTAGAGGACTTGTTTGAAGTTAAAACATCTTAATGACAGATTTGTTTATTATAAACACAACTTTTCATTTCACAAGATGTTAAATGACATATAGACTGGAGTCATGTGGATCACTTGTTGCAATGTTTTTATCAGCTGTTTGGACTCTCATTCTGACGGCACCCATTCACTGGTGAGCAAGTGATGTAATGCTAAATTTCTCCAAATCTGTTCTGATGAAGAAACAAACTTATCTACATACATTTTTGGCTGAACTATTCCTTTAATGTATGGTACATATTTTATGCACTCACTTGGTACGATACTCCTTCAGCTGAGGTTCTTTGGCAGCCATGTTGTAGATAACATCAGGTACATTAGCACCTAATGTATACATGTTTTTTGCCTCTTGCAAAACTTCCAGGACTAGAGGGTCAAGATTCACATAGAACACCTATCCACAAATAATGGAGGATTCAATGATAAAATAAAATAAAATATATTTCTTTAATTTTTTATGATTTTATGAGTATATAGTTTGGGTTTTTATAAATAATAACAGATTAAAAATTAGAATTTGTAGTAATTTTAACTGTTTTAAAATGTAATGTTCCATTTTGCCAAAGAATAATGTCTTTTGAAATTCTGTTTTGAAGTGATATAAACTTGCTAACCTTGGTTTCTGGGTGTCTAGTCAGCAGTGAAGATTTGAGACCATATAGTCCCAGTTCCACACCATCAACCCAAGCTTTGTGATGTATCATTTCATACTCCAGCAGCACGGCAGCAAGTTTGTTGTATGCCTGAATAATCTTCCTCCTCTCTGGCGTCTTAAAGTCAAGACAAGTTTCTTAAAAGGTGCTTTTCAGTCTCAAATTTCATTAAAATTCAAATAAACTGTGTTAATCTACTAATGAGATGTGACAATTTTGTCTGTAAATTACCTGCATAATGTCCAATTTGTCTTTTAGGATATGCATTGGCAAATGAATTTTTTTAAACAGATTTTGTGACCACTGAATTTTACTAGCCAACTGCAAAAGAAAATGTAAAACAATTTTTAGTCCCAGTAATAAACAGTCACAGTAGTCCCAGTGTTTTTTTGTGTTGGATATTCTGAATATGTGTAAATTGTGCATGTTTGCATTCTTTATGAAAGGATTTAAATATGAAATAGAGTTGAGCACTTTGGTGATCACTCAACAGGAAACTTACAGGAGTCTTGAATTGTGCAGAAGAGGGATTGTTCTTCTCTCTTTGGTAGAGTTTGCGCACAAACTCAAGGTCACATTCATACCTTTGCAGAACTACCATATACTTCTGGGTGAGGTCCATTTGTCTGCCCACACCGTTCTCAAATTTGGACAGCAGGTCAAGGACCTGATGAGTCTGTGGGGGCAGTAAATAAATTTCCTTTCAATGTAGAAGGAATACACTGAAAATGTATGTAATCTATTGGTCATGAGCTGCAATGAATGGATCAGTCATTCAAATGTTCACTTAATAATATAACTCTTTCACTTGACTAAAAGGGCCTTACAATGAGCGGACGTTGAAGCCAAGTGTCAATCAGTGCATCAAGAGACTGATATAAGCCCTGGATTTGTCTTCTGAACTCAGTGTAGTCATTGTCAAACTAAAAAAAAATCATGTCATATGAGAGATGGATCACGTCTAAAAAAACACTTAACTAAATCAAAATATACACAGTCATAAGAGACCTTACCTCTAATTTGCGGTGGTCAAGCACATTGTAGGTCTTGGATTTGATGCTGGAAACAATCGTTTGGTAGCGCATGTATATTTTATCAACACCTTCAACTTTCATAAACTGCAGGCTTGAAAAATCTTCAAGAGTTGTGGCCATGTCTGTTATCTTCTCCAGACGTTTGCAGAATGTATCAAACTTTCCGAATATGTAATTTTCACTGATGGTACGACAAAGCAGAGCTGAGTTAAGAAAGTAAATTATAGGGTTAAATTTTGATCTTAAGTTGACTTTAATGCTATGGTTTACAGACCTCAATTCAAATTGCCGTTCAAGAGGGTTCTCCTGTAATTTCTCTTTCATTCGGTGGAAGCATTGCTGGTACTCCTGGTTCAGCTGAATACATTCTTTCATCCGCTGAAGCAGTTCCTTCCTAAATGCGAATACAGACCAATGTATTTTGTCTATTTAAATTTAGAAATGCAGTTCAGCATCTCACATAAGACCAACCTGTCCAAGTCCCAGATTTTCATCACCCCTTGGCAGAGATAAGCCTTGCTGGTGGTCACCATTTGATTAGTGACCTTCACAAAGAGCGATGTCATGTGTTCAGAGGTATTGTAATATTGAGACACACGCTGAATCATGTGTATGCTGTTCATCAGTTTGGGAATTTGATTCAGCATGGTGGTCTGAAACAAACAATACAAATATCTACACATGAAATATTCCAATGCAACTTGTGCAAAAGAGACAATATATTATAAGCAGTCCATCACAACTACTTATGTTTTAAAATTACATAATACTCAAACTGTGACACTTAAAGTGACCCATAAATGGCACTCTTGATTATGTAACAGTTTTTACTGAAGAACATATACAATTTTGGAGCTTACTGGAGTGCTTTTTTCCAAAAGTTCGAAAAACTTGTCCAGAGTTGATAGATATTTCACATTATCTTTAGCTTCATTGGCCACAACCGTAATACTTGCATCCTGAAGATAGAAAACAGCAATATACAAACAAAATGTCAATCTATTATTAAAGGTGACATATCATGAAAATCTGACTTTTCCAGGTTTTAAGTGCTATAATCAGGTCCCCGGTAGTCCCAGCCTCAGAGGAGACAAAAGAGCAGTGGATTTATTTATTTATTTACTGTATATTGCTGCTGCCACACAGATCTAAAATAAACATGCGATTTATTTCCCAGCTGTTTGCCTTTACAGACATAACCGACTGTTTTTGTAACAGCTACTGTTTTTAACATAAACTTGTGTGTGAATGAGAACTTAGTTTAGTACTCACATGCTGTGACAACCGCTTTCTGTCCGTGTGCACTCAGAAAACCGTATATCAGAAGTTTAAACTAATATGGTTTAAAACGCATGATTTCAGCGCGATAAACATGATAATCAGAACCAAAGCAGATGTTTTTAGCAGGTATGAGCTGTAATGGCACATCTCAAAAGCTGGAAAAGCTGGGAAAGGGGGCAGGGAGCAGCAGCTCATTTGCATTTAAAGTAGGGATGCACCAGAGATTTATATTACATATTGTAAAAAGGGGCATAATATGTCTCCTTTAACTATTTAATTTAACAATTAAAAATTCTTATCCAGTAACACATAAAACTCATTGTTTTTTTTATTGTAATGTAAAAAAAATAGGTTATAAAAATGTACATTATTTATTAATCCTGCATATTTACTGTACTGAATTTATTATATTAATATTTTTTATATTAATTTAAAAACAAAAATCATTGTGACCAGACAGGATTACATTAATGAGTGAGATTTATTAAGCAAAATTTGGAGGTAAAACTTAAAATAATGTCTAATACAATGAATGTTGATGGCCTTAAAATATTCTCTAAATGCGAAACATACTTACTTACTTTTTTCTTTTTGATTTTAAAATGTGGCATTTCTTCATGTAATATGTATTAAAAAGCATGAAAATGCAAAGCACAACAAAACATCTACTTAACTGACCAGTTCTCTCCATTTACTCAGTGTCTTCGACTTGGCCGCATTCAATATACCAATGATCATCTTCACATAGGGGTCCTTGATTTCATCCAAGAGGCTGAACAAAGAGTGAAAAATTTAAGGGGGTCTGAATACTTTCCGTACCCACTGTATATAATAATTTAATAATAACATGAAAAATTTCTGAAAATGTACTCACCATCAGGCCAGCAAAGTTTGTTTTATTTGGCATTTAATCACTTGCTCACCAATGGCCCTTCCGCAGTGCATGGGTGTCATTAACTAACTGCAAGATTTTTACTGTACATTTCTGCCATATGGACATCAACTTGACATAGTCACCACCACTGATGAGCTACTACTAAATATAATTTAGATAATTAAATTTTCTGTAAAACGATTTGAATTAAATTAAATTAAAACTGCTTTGGACTATTCTGCATGTAAAGTTGCTTTATCTGTGCATATTTCTCTTCTGATTCAGATGAGACGACTTTTTCATTGGAGAAGGCAATATTATGAATAGAGGACTTGTATTTTAGCTAGAAGCAACTGTTTGAAGCTGTTACTGTTAGAAGCATCTTAATGATGGATTTGTGACTTACAAACATGCAGCTTTCACTTCATAAGACATTAATTGATGACATAGAGTTGTGTGAATTACTTGTGGATTCTTCTTATCAGCTGTTTGGACTCTCATTCTAACGGCACCCATTCACTACAGAGGATCCATTGGTGAGCAAGTGATGTAATGCTTAATTTCTCCAAATCTATTCTGAAGAGGAAACAAACTCATCTACATCTTCAGGGCTCGACAATAAGGACTGCCCGATGGCCCGGGGCCAGCGTGAAAGATGCTCGGGACAGTTGACGAATTTGTCACTTGCCCGATTAGGCCACTACCACGTCTTCACAAAAAGTTTATCATTTGCATCTGTTTTTAAGTAGGGATGTGCGCAGCGACTAATTTGACTGTTGTTTAAACGGAAGTTTTGTATCCGACTAGTGGCGTGGCAGAGTCTTAACTTTGATAAAGAATATCTCTTTGGTTTTGAGACTTTAGTCTTTGCAACTTCAGGGATCTTATCTATGCACAATCAGCTTGTAACACTCCAAAGAGAAAGGAAAACTTGAAATCGCATCATATGACCCCCTTGAATACACAGTGAATTGTATATTTATATGTATAAACACTAAATTAAATACCAATTGTGTATGTTATTACTGCAGAAAAAACACTGTTGGATGGCATGGTACCTGCTGAAGGTGATCATTCTGCGCTTCCAGTGTGCCAGCTCTGCTGAGGGTCCAATATCATCTGATTCTTTCCTAATGCGCTCACTCTCTGTCAGCACTTGCTCTATCTGCTTGGCCCAGTGTAACAGCACTGTTTCCAGACTTTCTACCAGCTCTGAGTTATTAGCTTAATGCCAAAGCCGAAAAAGAGAATAATAGCAACTAAAGTTTAGGACTGGCTTGTAATTTTTGTGTGTGTTATGTATTTTTATGGTTATTAAAAGTGAAATATGTTATTTCTGTGCACCAAATAAAATGTTACCTTGGGATAATTCCTATAAATAGTATGTACATTTTATATACAATTGGAAAACGTGTCAAGCCCTCTGCCTCACCCAAATATTATTACTTTGACATCAAATAAAGTGGATTTATGATTTATTTCTCTTTTCCCCATATTCAACATTTTACCTGCATTACTGTAGTCTTCAGCTTTCTGTATATGACTCAGGTCAGGGGCTGATGGGATGTTATGAAGCTTAAACTTTTCATCCATGCTCCTCATCACTGAAGATAGGGTACAGTTGAACTTATCCACTGACCTTAGAAAGTCTTGCACATCTGGACTCATTTGACCACATTTTATAGCTCCCCAATCCTGAAGGAAAGGTTTGATTAAAATGTCATTTTGTATATGCCACGTGTATTTTGGGACCAGAAAGTTCCAGATTTCTATATTTTCTATTTTTCAGTATTCTAATGATAATAATAACTTATGTTCATAAATACAGTGGGTACGGAAAGTATTCAGACCCCCTTAAATTTTTCACTCTTTGTTATATTGCAGCCATTTGCTAAAATCATTTAAGTTAATTTTTTTTCCTCATTATGGACATCCCGCACCACCACCGAAGTGGGTCTTCGTTAGAGGAATAGACGGCACGGACGGGATCGCAGCTGCGGCGGGCTGTAGTGAATGACATGATTGACATTAGCTGGCTTTGGCATTTAAAATGTTTTAAATGTAACAATGGTAATTTGATGGTAACATAAAATGATGGTAATTTCAATGATAATTATGTTTTTTTTTTCTTTTTCTGTAGTGTAATCGACTATTGTTTTCAGTGTCGACTAGCAGGAGCTGTACCGTTTAGTCGACTAGACCCGCACATCCCTATTTTTAAGCCTTGCTAATTAAAAAATCAAGCAATTTAAAAGCATTCCAGCAAGGCGCGAAAGCCAACTCCATTCAGTACAATGCACGCACAGCAGCTGCGTCTCTGACACCCGAGCCCCGAGTTGAGTTTCTTTCCGTGTCTTTCTTGTGCTTGAACGGACAAATACAAACAAAAATGTGTCAAAATACCTGTCTTGGCGAGTAACTTTGTAGCTTTAACAATTATGAATCTATATTTAATTTATACAGTGGAGTAGAGATACACCGATCGACCAGGCATTTTTTGTTTTATTTCAGACCATCTCTGTTCCGTGCTTGCACACAAACTGCATCGCATAATAAAAATGTCATTTGTGTGGAAATATTATGTTATTATTATATTTAGTCTGTAAATGGCCATTAACAGAGGCCAGAACGCTGAGGATGAATGCAAAGAGGAGAAAATACAGAGTAAGATCACTGTTCACGATGCGCGAAATATAGGTAGAAAATCCAAAATATTGAATTTTATATGGATGTGTTTCTGAGGGGAACTGACTGTTTTCAGTAAAGTTTACATGGCGTTTTCTTTTCATCTTGGCTCGGTATAATGCATTTAAAGTAGTGCTAATATGCACAGCTCTGCTTCTTTGTACAGCGGTAACCAAGTAAACGCTGCTGTTCCATGAGCGCCACCTGCTGGCAGAAAGTGATTGTGCTCATTCAGCACGTCTGCTGTTTCGGATTCATGCAGGTGTTTCATGTAGCATAATTTCACAAAGCTAAAGTCAGACCATTCTGTTTTTGCTTCAAATTTTTAAATTATACGGTCTAATTTAAATCAAACATTGCACATGCTACAAGTGTGTATTTTTATTTATTTTTTTGATCGATTCATGATTAAAATGCAGTGGTTACCACTCATTTTAAATGGCTATGAAAAATCAAGGTGCAACACAGTGAAGAATATGCTATGTTATTTTACATGTGATTATTAAATTTCTGTAGAGTACCTGAACACCTACAAACATAAAATCCTAAATCATTTCATTTGTATCTTTGTTCTGTATTCAGTGGTGTTATTGCTTGTAATTTGTTCTTATTTACTGACTGTTTACTTGTCTTTAATAATGATTGAACTTTATATTTGTCAGGATAGTAGTTTTGGCTGAAATTGAAATCGAGAATTGTAAAATTTAATTAGTATCTAAAATATTGGTGTCATATAAGCTTATTTATTAGAATAGAAGATAATGATAAAGGCAACTATTTTATTTATTTATTATTATTTTTATTTTTTTCTGGCAGAGCCAGTGAAAATGTTGGCAGGGAAAGTAATAATTTGAATAATTATTTGCCCCGTCCGGGCCAGTAGAAAAAAATCCTTAGCGTTGAGCCCTGATCTTGGATGGCTTGAGGGTGAGTGAACTGTCAGAAAGTGTTCAATTCTTTTAATAAATCATTTTGCTAATTTACTGGAGCAAAAATGTAAAAATAAAACAGTCTATTCAAAAGATGACTTTTTATATTAACAAATGGTCCAAGACAGAAAGCAATGCTTTATATATCCTATACAGGCCTATTCCATTCATCATTTATAAAATTCATGGAATCATATATCATACCTCTTGTGATTTGAGGGCTTGGTTCATGACCTGAGTAAAAAGAAACTCCAAACTGTGGAGGACACTTGTCTCTGAGCCGTCAAGCATTCCAAAATTCACCTCCTACAGAGAATGACATAAGAGTATCCAATGACCTATACACGATACTAAACAGTACCAGTTACACTCGAAAAATAAACCTGCCCACCTCAACCCACACTGACCTGGGATATGTTTGTGGTTGTTATGGCCTTGTCCGTGATTCTTGTGAAAAACAAACACTGCCCGGTAAGACCCTGCAATCAGTGAATGAAGAGCAACCCAGTTCATTGTTTTTCTCCTTAGCAACATGCATATATAGTTACTTAGTCACTCGCCATTTAGGACATGCTGTCCATCCAAAGCTACTTAAATTGCATTAATTGCAGGGACAGTCCCTCCAGAACAACATGTCTTACTGGCTTGTCTTGTTGTGACTACTACTAATTAGTCTATTAGTTTTTACACATCTAGTTTCTAGATTTCTGTTTTAATATACTTTAAAATGTCACATGATCCTTCAGAAATAATTCTAATATACTAATTTGGTGATCGAAAAACATTTCTTATTATTACTTATTATATCTGTTGAAAATAGTTGTAGGGCTTTGTTAAAAGTGTAACAGTAATGGTATTTTGTACCTCATTAGTGCCTGTTGTGATAAACAGCTTCTTCTGTCCAGTGGCTAAATTTGTGGTATCGATCCAAGAATGGGACTGTAGAGAAATATAGGCAGGTATGGCTTGTTAATATCATGCTTTTAGGATGTTTTGCAGTCACCATCAAGTCGTGTGTTTTACCGTTTCTGTGACTTGGTAGAAGAACGTAAGACTCTTTGAACCATTTGCTGAGAAGAATTCTTCAATCATGTAGAACTGCAGAACACACATACACACATTTATACATGGCAACCACATGTTTGTGATTTTGAGGACATTAGTAGTGTCATATTTTACACACCTTATCATCTGAGATGATAGCCTCCTCGACTTCCGTGTCTCCCAGGCTCATCATTTCTGCAATGATTGAGATGAGGTACTTGTGTCGGCCATCAAGAGCTGCTCTACGCTCATCTTTGAGAGCTTTGACCTGTTTTATTTTCTCCTTTCGGGCTTCATTAGATAGTATCACAGAGCGCTTCCCTGACACCTGAGAGGACAAGTCAAGTCAGCTTAATTGTGTGGTCTTCGGTCACTTCTGACCGGAGAATTTTACATGTTGAATTTTTAAAAATCGTAGCTTCACCAGAATGGTACGAAACTTTGTGACTTTTATGGCACTTGGTATGTGAGCACACAAAAAAATTGAGGGCATGATTGATGATGATTCGAAAAGGCTAAGTGGTCGTAAAAAAAATAGTCACACTCATGGTCTTCGGTCAAAAATGACAAACCATAGGAAATGAATGGGAAATGGGTAAAAAAAATATCGAAAATACAGAAGATTTTTGTGAACAATCTACAAATCCCCCACAATGCAGAAAAAAAATAAAGGGGTAAAACTCTAAACCATCTAGAGTGCAAAATCAACACACCAACTAACACAAGCGCGGACACACACTTGTACACACACATCTATGAAGTGGTGTGACTGTAACACTGCAACTATGTAAAATAAAATCAATAATTCGACTTCAGACCCAGAAGGATTAAGCTCTGATAAAGCATTCCTGTTCATTTTTGTTACATTTTTTATAAAATGTTAAAGTTTTGTGTAACAAAATGCTTTCTGTGTTCAGGTTTGAATGTAGTAATAATAATGCGAAAACCTACACTTCAAATACTTTAGTCTTTGCAACTTTACAGATCTTCTTTATGCACCAAGAGCTTGTAACACTCCAAAGAGCATAGTTTTGTTGATGGGCAAAAATGTGGAATGCCAGACTATATATAATCCACAAACAAAATAATATATTATTTCATAAAATAAATATAAATTAAAATAATAAAATACCATAGAAAATAAAATAAATAATAATAATTACTGACAGCAGTGGTGACTGTCTGGGATGCAGCAGCTGGTGTTGTCTGATTGATGTTTTTTTCCGTTTGCGCTCCAATTCTTCTGTGTCTACCCGCACCTATATTTAATAAGATGAACAATACAAAGAATCCTGCTCATCAATACATATAAAGACAGGTCATTGTAAAATGTCACACACAAAAACTAATCATACCCGTTTTTATGGTGGTTAGTGGTGGTTTCACTTCTAGATCCTGATGTGAGGATGGGAGTTTTGCTATATCATCATTTTCTTTTTCATGAGATGACATAGTGCTTTCCTCCCCAAATCCTTGCTTATTTCCCAGGGGCATGCCAGGTACTTCTGACCCACGATCGGCTGTCTCTTTTTCTGTGCCATTGGCATCCGTAGGAGAGTCTTCATTTTCTGACATTTTTTTGTGAAATATCTTCCTGAGAGTCAGTTAATTTAAATGAGGCATTTTTCATAATTCAAAGACAACCTGGTTTTACACTGCAGGTACAGTATATGAACATAATTTAATGTCATATTCATTGGCAACATATTTACATGTTAGTGTTCCTTTCTTAAGCAGCAAAACTTTTTTAAACGGGAGATTGCACCTGCGCGTGACTTTTTAGGAAGATTAACAGTTACATGTGTTTAAATTTGAACCGTTTGCCAGCAGGAGTTTGGCTTAACCGACATAACGAACATCCAGTGTAAATCAATGGGACTTTTTGGCAATCATGCCATACGAAAAATGTACTTTCATTAAAATAATTAAGAATATTATAGGATACTTAGTCAGGTCAAGCTGAAGGTCTTGGTCAGTCAGAAAAATGCAAATACATGTCTATGGGACTTTTGGGTTTTTTTGATCGCAAGTAAAGCCTATCAACTTTGACAGGCCAACAAACTAACAGTAAAAGGACATATTTTATCAATAAAGTCTTCACTATAAATATATATATAGTAACGTTACTTCCTTGCTGCAAAATATCTAAGACGGTTAACGTTAGACTGCGTCAAACAATTAAACTAGCGAAGGTATAAAAACTTTAAAAAGTTAAAGTTTGTAACATTAGTTGAATAAATTACCTCAAATTAACTTTAAAGCTGTCGAAAACACATATTTAGAGTAAATAATCATATTATTTTCCCTTTGCTGCTAATTTAGAGCACTCACCTTGACCGAGGCTCGTCAAATCTGTGAGAACAAGCTGAAAGCCTGAGGCAAAGTTTATTGTTGTTACTATGGTAACTGACTCGCGAGCCGTTGCCTGAGCAGGAGACGCGCAAAAAGAAACAGATGAACATGAGCCTGTTTGAAGGATCATTTCATTATTATTTAATTAATTATAGGAATAAATTATGCAATAATTCACCTAAATCAAAAAAGCACACAGCATAATGAATAAACACTGACCTCGGCCAAGTTCAAATAGAATAGCAGAGTTTCTTACAAAGAGACATGCATAACGTAATACATTTGATGGGGGTTGTAAAATGTTTTGAGGGAAATTTATGTATTTTATATTCACATGCACGAAGTGATTTAATTCATTATATAAACAAACAAACTCCGACAATGAAAAGTCGCAAAAAACTGCATTGGATGAGTTTGGATTGGATGAGTCGATGTAATAATATGCAGATTTGCGCATATTGAATAAAAATAACGTTTCATTTGCATATTAAAAAGTATAAAAACTGACAATAAAAATGTTTTGTGTATTTTCCAAAACAAATTTTCATTTTGCAAAAAGGAAAAACCTACAAAACCTCTTCCTATCTTTTGATCAGCAAGGTAGGTGCATTTAGTGTCAGGTGACAGAAATTACACAAGCAGTAAGTGCCTTCTAACACACACAACCACACACACACACACACAAACATATGGGAGCGTTGTGATTCAGTTGCGTCGCGTCAAAGCTGTACGGAGAAGCAGACCAGACGCGTTGCGTGAGCTAAACGGGACCTGCCTCTGGAAAACTATTTAACTTACGAGCTACATATCGTTCATTTGCGGGAATATCTGACCAAAAATAATGCTTTAAAATGATTCCACTGTTGAACATGAAGTTTACGAAGCTAATTCTGTTCCGTGAATTGGGAATCGCCTGTTTTGTGCTGATAAGCGCGGTGTGGTGCTCCGTTTCTGAGAGGAAAGGTGAGTGAAGTTACCTTAACTGTCTGTCACTAACAAAAATCTCATATAGTACGTCTTGAACAGACGTTTATCTACATAAAACGTCTTTTAAAACAGTGCCAAATGAGAAGTTTGAGAATAGAAGGAAATAAATGAGGTAAATTAACTTGCGTGTCCACACTTTTGACAGTGTAAACAAACAAACAGATAGATAGATAGATAGACAGATAGATAGATAGATAGACAGACAGACAGAAAAAACATGGTGTAGAATTCGCTTTGAATCAATTTTCACTCAGAAACTGCTAGTAAATTTAACAAATAATTACAAAGAAATGGCAAGTAACATTGAATTAAACATTAAAGTTCCAAGTAGAAATACTGAAATAGTATTACATACATATGTCTAGTAAAACATACCACAATAATCTATTTTGTTTACATTTTACAGTGTAGATAGATAGACAGACAGGTAGGCAGATATGATTACGGTTTGATTACTGATAATTATGATCACTACGATTACAGATTATAATATGGGTACTGTATGTATATGATTCAAATTTTAATGATATTACTCTTTACGTGTATAATAACTAATGATCTGAAAAGCATTAGGTAGATGAGATTAGAGAACTGCCGTGACATTATTAATCATATAACCAGCTGCAGGTTTGTCTTTAACCCCAGCAAGTGACCCCAAGACAAGGAGTCTCTCATGTTTCTAAAAATGTAATGAACATAATTAAGTCTGAAACATACTTAAAAATACTTGATGAACTTTTGAGACTGGTGACCACCACAGGATGAGGGCCAAGAGTTCAACAGCAGCAGATGGTACCGCTAGACAGCTGCCCCACTGAGTGGGGTCTGGGCCCTCAGCGTCAGTCTGTGGTCCAGTCTCTGGTCTACCCCGGACAGACTGTGTTTAACATGCTGTTTGAGGTTTCTTGCCAGTTTAGAAATTAACAGCAGATGGTGGCTCCCAACACTGTCCCAGAACAAACCAGGCAGAAATGGGTTAAATACATTTTGATTCTGTGGTGACAACTGGAATCAAAATCAAGAGAACAAAACAAAATGGTTTGTAAATCTTAAATGATTTGTAGGCTAATTGTAACATTAAAATAATGCAGAATCATTCATGTAACTTAAGTAAATGCGTATTATTAAATATAAAGTAGTCTAAAATGGAGAGATCCATCTCTAAAATTGGCTTATCACTTTATTTAAAAAAATGTGATGTACACCTACAGTATGACTGCAGGCTAAGTGTGTCAGATTTTTGTTATCTGATAAACAGCACACCTATTAAACACAAAAGAAACTTTGCATGCTGTCCTGGACATTCTAATCATACTTTTCAGCACAGAAACCAATGACGCAGACAGTACAACTCGATTAGTAGATTTCATCTGCATTTCTTTTAACAGTTTACTGACAGTAGGTTAATTATTTATTTTATACAAAGTAAGATGCTGAGTTAAAACAATGAATTGTGAATTATATTGTGTCTGTCAATGATAATGCAGACTTGTGCTGCTGTCTGAGGAAAAGCAGTGTTTGTTGGTCATTTTTTCCCATTTTATTTTTTCTTCTTCCTGTTATTTCTTGCATTTCAGTATTGCAGATAAATATTAATAATTAACTTAATCTATTTTACCTTCGTCCCTTTGATTTTTCCCAGGAGTGTCAATCAATAAAAATGTTGAATTAATTACACGATTTAATGAATAATTGATCCACTGAGAAAACAGATTAATTAATATACTTCAATGCCAATACATTATTGTGGCTTTATCAGTTTTGCAACCAAAATGCATTCATGCACATTTTATAATTAATCATACCAAATTAATGCCACAACCCTATACTTTCAAGACAAAAAAAAACAGACAGTGAATGACTATTCACACCTGTTGGTTGACTATGCCTTTAAAGGTGAAGTGTTTAACTTAAAAAAAAAATACTTTCTCCTGTCCCAGCATAGACTTTCTCCTGAGAAGTGCAAACATTTCCATGCTATCAAAACATTGCTCTGTTTGTTTAAGCATCCCAGTCAGCCCAGCACAACAACACTGTGAGTTTAAGATGGGAGTATCTGTTTTGTGACCATTGGCAGAGTTCAAGAAAACTGTCATTATTTCTTGCAAGTCTTTTTTGGTTAAATTACACACCTTTAATGACCTGTCAGTTTAAGTGTGGAAAGCCTTCTGGCGATGGGTCTGTGGTATGCGTGTGTCAGCATAACCTGTCAGTCAGTATTGTCTCCGGGGCATCTCATACTTCGTTTCACTCCCACAGCCTGTGGCAGAAAAAAAGAGAGAGAGAGAAACGGTTAGAATAAAGGTTATTAGAAAGCAGATACTTTTGTTTGACCTACTTTGCCTTGATGACATCAAGCATCATTAAAGGAACAGTTCACCCAAGAATGAAAATTTGCTGAAAATCTACTCACCCTCAGGTCATCCAAGATGTGTCCAAATAGCTGATAAAAACATCACAATAATCCACAAGTAATCCACACGACTCCAGTCCATCAATTAACATCTTGCGAAGTGAAAAGCTGCATGTTTGTAATAAACAAATCGAAATAAACAAGTAAATTTTGGCCAAAATATTATAATCCATAATATTGCTTCCTCCAGTGAAAAAGTCTCCAGTCTCCTGTTATTGTCTCACATCAAAATCCACCAACATATTTGTTAAGAACTTCTTTGGACTGTTTTCGCTTATAAACGGTGCTTAAAGGGGTTATATGATGCAATTTCAAGTTTTCTTTTCTCTTTGGAGTGTTACAAGCTAATTCGTCCAATCACAACGCACTGGATAGCTGGCCAATCAGAGCACACCTCGCTTTTCAGACCGATGAGCTTTGCAAAAATCGACGCGTTTCAGAAAGGCGGGGCATAGAGGAGAAACAATAATGTACAGTATGTGGAAAATAATGTGTTTTTTGAACCTTAAACCACATAAACACATTTCATTACACAAAATAATGTTCTTTTTAGCAACATCATATGACCCCTTTAATCTGTGCATACTTCTCTCCTGATTCGGATGAGACATCTTTTTTACTAGAATGCAATATTATGGATAGAGGATGCATAGTTTGAAACTAAAAACCTAAACTTATTACAAACATGCAGCTTTTCACTTCAATGATGGACTTGGGTCATGTGAACTATTTTCGAATGAACTATTCTTTTAACTGGAATGAAATGACACCCATTCATGTGAATCCTGAATGTGGGTAGACAAGCGGTTGACGTAGGTGAAGA